ATGGTCCTCCCGTTTCCTCCCACTGCTAAAGACCCTATCGCTCAAACGAATTAATAAAATAAAATTGAAGCATAGTCCCGAAATGACCTAGTTTGTGTCGATTGGATGATAAACCCCATCTCTCTCTCTGGTGACAGTTATGTAGTCGCTACGTCACCGCTAGCACGATCGAGCTATAACGTCACAGAATTAGCCCGTGCATGTAATGCATGGGTTGATACACCGTCTCTTTTTTGAGTGGGGTTCCGAGGCGAAGCCGAGGAGATCTTCACTCAAAAAAGAGATGGTGTATCAACCCATACACCGAGAAAACAAGGTATATAACTGACTTATACTAAATACTTTTTCGAGAAATAGAGATTTTTTCTATTTTTCACAATTTCAAAAGCATTTTTCATTTCACAAATTTATCAAAGTTTCCCATTCAGACCCCCCAATTATCTCATCGCAAACGCTTATTTCTACTCAGGTAAATGATGTCAGTACACCGCACGTGCATTTCACGGTTTAAATCAGGTCAGGGAAAATGTTCATAACAGGGATATTGATTGGTTGAGAAAAGCAAACGTTATCCAATCATTTTGTACAATAGCCATTTCTTGTTGTTTTGCCAACATCCTGGCTGCGTCGATTGTAGTGGATGGCAGAAATGAATGCGGGAATTCGTCGAAGAATCCTACTTTATAATGTCACAGATATATATATTTCTAAGACCGAGAATATCAGTTCTGCAAGAGATGTCAATGATCGCGAAGATTTAGAAGCCCGATCCATCACAGAACAAGAAATTAAAACCATGCAGATGAGTCGAATTCCGCCAAACACGAGGAAAAATACCAATTGTATAGGAATATGGTGACACTTCGAGATCAGTACAAAAGATTGGATTTTAACTTTTTTGATAAGCAAGGTACATTTGCTAATTTCCGCACAGATCAATTCATTAACTTCGCGAGGTATTGACATCCACCACGGACAGACAAAAACAAGAACAGCCATTAAATGAAGACGAGTTGGAATTGTAGAGTTCTCAAGTTTGTAGTGTAGAAAATGCCAATGGATTAATTTATACTAGTAATATATACTATTCAAAAAAAGTAGGGGATATTTGATTTTTAAGTGTTATTAAAGTCACCTAATGAAACTGACGAAGAAACAAATGACAAAATGAAATGAAGTTCACATTCATCGATTTATTCCAAATGATCGTTAGACTAAGTAAGGCACAGACTGACCATTATAAGGGTAAAATGATACCCGGGGTCAAACAGCAAAGTTACCACAGCATCACAACCAAGTCAGTAACGGGTAAATCCTCCTCTGTTTGCCAAACAAGCATTGATCCGACGTGGCATACTCCTAATGAGACGTCTAAGGTCATTTTGGTCCAGATTGTCCCATTCCTGTTGCAACGCAGCAGCAAGTTCTTGGACATTGGCAGGACGTTGTTGACGTTGACGTAACCTCTGTCCAAGCATGTCCCAGACATGCTCGATGGGGGAGAGGTCGGGACTCAGTGCTGGCCAAGGTAATGTGGTGATGTTCTGTTGTTGGAGGTAACCTGTAACGATCCTGGCCCTGTGACATCTTGCGTTGTCATCCTGGAAGATGAAACGGCGGCCATGACGTCCTGCGAACGGCACAACATGGACTGCCAAGATGTTGTCCCGGTAGTACTGGCCTGTAACACGCCCTGCAACAACATGTAAAGCCGTTCTTCCAGCAACAGTGATGCCTCCCCACACCATAACAGAACCACCCCCAAATCGATCATATCTGATGACGTTAACGTCTTGGAAGCGCTCGTTTCGACGACGCCACACCCTCCTACGTCTGTCCAAAAAATCAACAGTGAACCTTGACTCATCTGAAAACATCACATTGCTCCAGCGTCGATTATCCCAGTGTTGACGATCCCTACACCAACGACGTCTTGCCTGAATGTGATGATCTCTCAAACAAGGGATCACGCGAGGACGTCGGGCGCGAAGGTGACCCCTATGCAGTCGATTCCGAATCGTCTGGCCACTCACTCTCACACCAGTATCTGTTTGAAGACGAGCGCTGATCTGATTTGCTGAGATGACATGATTTCTCAAGGCCAAGGTACGGATAAATCGATCCTGGGCTTGAGTTGTCGCCCTTGGTCGACCTGAGCGTGGTCTGTCCTGTACAGATTGTGTATCACGGTATCTGGACCATAGCCTGCTTTTGACAGACTGAGAAACATTCATCGTCCGCGCCACAACCGCCTGTGTTGTGCCGATCTGTAGCATGCCAAGGGCACGTAACCTTTCATTTTGGGTAAGCCGACGCATATCAAAATTTGTTTTCTGGTCACTAAAACAATTAAACTGATGTTTCCACCCTGGAATTCAATGCCACAATGACTGTAACATTCAAAGTCAGAGTCGTGCAAATCTTGGGTTGGACCCCCATGATGATCCCAAGCATCACCTGCATTCCATGCGGTAGCTATTGGTGCGTTTGGGCGTCACATGTAACTGGAAATGTTTCTTCTGTTAGGTTCTATAATGACTTTTTTCGTAGTCATTTGCATATTTTAGTATTATGCCCCCAAAATCAAATATCCCCTACTTTTTTTGAATAGTATATTTGGATTACGTGCTGCGGATGAGCATAAACCGCGACAAAATGTGACAGTTTTTAGCCGCGACAAAATGTTAATGTGAAAGTGCGACAAAATGTGAAAGTGCGACTAGATATCAAAATGTAAAGAAATGTGAGACAAAATGTAAGAATATGACTGAGAGTGACGCACATTCGAAAAGTGCTGAGACAGTTGAAAATGATGACTCTTTTACCATAACATGTTCAAAACGGGTTGTAGATGTTCAAATAAATATGTAAATCATGATTTTGTTATTTTTGTCCCTTTTCAACTGATACACGGCCACTTTTAAAAAGTGGCCGTCAAAAGTGGCCGTGTATCGGTGTATACCCTCCCATTTTCATCAAAGAGTCGAGAAAAAGTATGGGTATAAGTATTCTTACCCAAGATACAAATGAGATGTGGTAGGCCTATAAGAGGCTGATCATGGCAACTACTGGGTATCGGCTTTTGCTGTTACGTAGTCCGTGTGAGCAATGTTTAAGCATGATTGACTACGTTTTAACACAAGGCAACTTGTCAACATCCTTACAGAGTTTGTCTAAGGTGACGAAACATGACAACGTGACGTCACCCCGCGGGAAACTATAATCGGAGTTACTCGGTCAAAGTCTTATTGTAGGCGGAGTCAATGGAACGGTCAATTGAGGCGATCGGTTGGATCTGCTTCTTTTAAGAGCGACCCTCAGTCGTTTGGATGGGAAGAAAAAACAAGGTCCCGTGTATACATTGACATTGGCGTGCACGTAATTGTTACAGGGAGAATATTGAGTACTAGATACATATATATATATATATAGGTACCTGAACTCCTTCACCTTTATATAAACATATTCCCCGCCCACTCATTTATCAACCCATCAATTAGTTCTCTATCGTCATAACAAATGAACTTTTTATAAAAAATTTAAATCAACAATCTATCAATTATTTTACACTGAACAACCTCCAGATACAATGTCATAGTTTATTTAAAAAATAGATCAGATGACATGGAGTTTAATGTTCTACATTTCCGCATTAACAGGGATAATGAGAGAGAGAGAGGGGGGGGTAGAGAGGGGGGGGGGGGTAGAGAGAGTTCTATGGTATGCATGAGAGAGAAATGAAATGAAATGGGGTTTAACGTCCTACTGTTCTGCTCCTATACTGGGCTAATGAAGACGGGCATACGCCATACAGTGTGCTTTGAGGGAAATTTTGCCCGGGCAGCTTCACTATCGCCTACTCTTATATCGAATTCCAACTGCCTAGGGATCTTTTACGTACATTCCAATGTATACACGAGACCTCGGTTTTTCGTGTCATCCGAAGGATTAGACAGCTGTCCTTGTCAGGCCCTCCGTCCTGCATCACTGACAAGGGGGGGACCACGCCGGAAAATCTGGATGTACTTTCTCGGCCAATGCAGGGATCGAACACCCGACCTCCAGGCTATCGAGCCAGCGTCTTACCCACTTAGCCACGTGATCCCCAGCATGAGGGAGAGAGAGAGAGAGGGAGGGAGAAAGAGGGGGGTAACGTCCACTCGACACAAACTAGGTCATTTCAGGACTAACATATTCAGTTTTATGTAGCAGAGAGAGGAAACCGGAGGACCCGGAGAAAACTCATTAGGTTGGACAGGCGATCCCACTCCTTGTTACGTACACCCGGAGAATCGAAACCACGCCAGTTGACCCAATGACACACCTTATGATACAACGCGCACGCGCTAACCATTCGGCCACCCCCACCCCAACCCAACCCCCCGGGATAATGAAGAAGGGCATATGTCATACAGTGTGCTATGAGGGAAATTTGGCTCGGACAGTGATTGAATTCCAACGGCCAAGGGATCTTTTATGTGAAGGCCAATGTGACACTGATTATTAACCGTGGTTGGCTAAGTGTGGCTAGCTTTTCCCATGATGTACCGGGAAAATACCCGGGCAATTAGTACACACCAGAACAACCTAGACCGGGCCATTCTACCCAGGTTGAACCACGGTAACCTCGTTGGACTCCACAGTCCCGTAGGACAATGCTAGGACCAAGCTGCCCAGGTTGGACTTCGTAGCCCAGGTTGGCCACACTTTTCCGGTTGGACTTCGCTGCACGAACCTCTCTCTCTCTCTCTAGTGGGTTACCCACAGTTACGTGCATCTCACGCTAAGAAGTCATTGTAACCGTTCGTTTCATTAGCTAATCCCTCACATCAATCAGAACGCGGGTTATATAACAACTCTTCCAGAGTCTGGGGTAGTAAAGACAAGTAAAACGAAATTTTGAACTATAAAAAACGAAACGAAAATGGATCTGTGTTTTAATCAGATTGGGCTAACACGAGGGAGCTATGGGAGTTTAAATATAAGAAAACAAGGACTGCTAGTTTTAATTGATTTTATTGATGAGTTTCATTCACAGGGTAGAAGTAACAATAAATATATTAAATCATTTTTATACTTCTAAAAAATACATTCTATATACATGTACCATTAAAATACTCAAATTCATTGTTAGCGGATTTTGTATTTCGTTTCGTAAACTTGGAATACCTTTAGTATACGTCATTTTCATTGGTTAATTACATGAACTCAAATTTAAACGTTACGCGAACCGTAAGTCTGGATCCATTTTTCTTAGCCAATGAAAAATCTATATATATGTGAACTTTTTGAGTCATATTATTTTAAAGCGACGTTGCTTGATAGTGGCGAAAGGGGCCTCAACGAAACATCGCTTTAAATAAAAAATATGACATCATTGTGTTTATTACACTATATTAATTTCTGTTTCCGTGGAAACAAGAACAAGTGTTCAGGATATGACGTAATGAGCTATTAATTTGTGATAAGTACAAAAACATGAGATGTTAAACCCATTTTCATTTCACAGCATTTTGTGTTCGTTTTCATATTAAAAAAAAGCGAAAAAAAAGTCGTTTACCAAAAACATTTTGAACTTTATTATATCGTTTAAAACGAATTACAACTGATTCAATTAGCAACAAATCAACAATAACGAAAATCCAGGCCCGTAGCTAGGTGGAGGGGGGGGGGCAAGAGGGGCTGCTGCCTCTCCTGGAAATATATCGGCGCACCCAATGGTGCCTGTGCCCATTGGAGAAAGAATCGGTTCCCCCAATGGGCGCCCTTTCCATTGGACGCAATAAAAGCCAACGACTAACGCGCCCCTCTTGCCCCCCCCCCCCCCCCCCCTCTCCAACATCCCCTCTCCCGCCCCGGTAGCTACGGGCCAGAAATCTTATAAATAAGCTCAAACATTTTATAAATTACCCCCAAGTAGGGTTGCATCCAAAATATATATTTAAATGTTCAATAGTAATCTAACAATATCGTTCCAGATCGATCAACAATTCAATATTTCACCTTAAATGTTATTATATTTTTTTGACTCCAGTTTCTCCATTTTCTATTTTTTGTTCTTTTCTTACAAATATATCTACAAATAAAGTTCATATCACAATTTTTTTTCTTTCGATATAATTATTTTTTTATTTATTTATTTTTTTGTAATATCGCATCTTAATTTAAATTATTTTGATAAACAAGCGAGAAAGACATCCTATTGATTTACATATCATGTTGAATTTACTATTTCAAAACATGACAACAAATCTCCCGTCAAAAGGCAAAACCTAGTAACTCACTTTTTTTTAATCAAAGATGAGTTAGGACCAAATTTATAGTTACTAGGATATGTGCTTCCTGTTGTTGTACTAGATCTTCCACTCTTTTGATTTTGTAAGCAGTTACACCCATGACACAACCTAGCAACTTCCTTCATTTGCCTATAGTATGCCACAGAAAAACCTAGCAACTCAATAGTCAAATCAGTGGATAAGCTGGGGGTTTAATATTCATTCATTACGTTTTCCTTTGTTTTCTCAAAATAAGAAAAAAGTGAGTTACTAGGTTTTGCATTTTGACGGGAGTAATGCATCCAAATGTTAAAATACAGACAAAAACTTTTGTAACGAGTAGATGGATATATCAGTATAATAAATAATACAATTTTTGTACAAAGAAACGCCATTTTGTCACACTGATAATAAACCTATCCCCAAAGCAAAGATAGTCATGCTAAATGATAAGGCCAGTTCAAATTTTCGTCATAGGTCACGAGATGTAAACAGGGCTAGCGCTAATCCCAACGTAACTGACCTTAACAAATAGATTTAGCCGCCATGTCTCCCTTGGCAACTTTCTCCAAAAAACCTACATTTTTAAGACGTCTGTGAAAACCTCTCCCGATAGTCACATTCATCCAGTGGATTGTTCATTTTAAAGGAAATTTGGACTTTGAATAGAAAACATGAATTTCAAATTGAATTTTCAGGTTGTTGGAGAAAATGGCGTCAATTAAACGACGTGACAACGAATGCATAATCTGATTGGTTGTCGTCATGTATATACGTCATAAAGACTGACATTGGGAATTGGTTAATTTCAGATGTCCTAGCTATTCCATCCATGAATGATAGTGGACGCCATCTTTAAAACCGTAACCAATGACGTAATCAACATACATATTTATTTAACGATTACACATGAGTACAAGTGTCCAAACTGTAAAAAACGTTAAAATAATTGCACAAAACGTTAAACAAGACACACACACATATCGATGACGTATCATAAAATGTTATAATATAAGATGATATAATACAATTAAAACGTCATGTGTAATTTTTTGTGTTTTTTTTAAAAAGACAAACAAATAAATAAAATGTCAAAAAATACAATTAAGATCGTCTGCTGATATGTCATATCCAAAAACCAAAACCTTCCAACTAGCAACAGGCCAGAATCTCAAATCACATAATATTATAGGCCTACTATATCAATCTGATAAAAATACAGTTCTATCTTTCGTTTCGTTGTTTTATACTTTAGATCGGCTCCACTAAATGGTGTAGTGAAAGGGAGAACTCTAGATCGGAAACGGTCCTGCACATATGACTGTTGGTTAGCGTAAGGGTTGAGCTATGTCCAGGGTTAGGGTAAGGGTTAGCGTTAGCCATGTTTACACCTCGAGACTTTGATGAATTCTGCAGGTCCTAACCCTTACCCTTACCCACATAATATGACGCCATATGTGCTAAAATGCACAGGACCGTCTCCGATCTAGCGTTCTCCATAAGTGAAGACAAGTGAACATAATTTTGAACAATAAAAAAAAAACGAAACGAAATAGGATTTGTGCTTTAATCCGATTGATATATTATTTAGCATATCCCGAGCATCAGACAAACATGGATAATTTGACTGGTTTGTACTTTCAAAAAAACAAAAAAAACCCCAACAAATTGTTGTTTTTTTCTAGACATAAAACCTTTTTGTCATGCTCGTATAAATCATGTTCTGACCTTAAGCCGGTCATTAAAGTATATCATACGGTCTGTCTGCTTGACGCTAATCAAAGCAGGTTTTTATGAATAAGCTCTTCAGCCTTTTAGCGCGATTGGAATATTACACTATATAGATGACGTCGCTTGTAGTTGTCGGTCAATGGCTGAAGTTTTATGACACGAACCACGACAAAATGAACTCAAATTGATCAATTAACATTTAATTTCTAAACAAAACCAAAACATCAATAGTAGATGTTCTGGTTTGGATTCAGATTAACAAGAGGCCCATCATAAATGTCAGTGAAAATCATCGGTGGCGCTGGTTTGTTTTGACCAAAACCAGTTAACATAGGCCTCAGTGGATGCCTGAATGATGGCCAAGTTTAAACTTATCATATCTTTGGGAATACTGAACAGAATTGAACTATTTGTGGCATGATATTCAGTTTTCACAAAAATAGTGTTAATAAAATAAAACCAAGTACGAACAATCCAAACCATTAGTCAAAATTCGAAGTCCTTAAAAAAAACGATATAGGCTAAATAGTGTAACCAGCAAATGGATAGATAATTGTGTACAACACAAGGGATTTTATATACACCGAATTGTTGAAGCGATGTTACGTTAACCCTGATTGGAGGTCAACACGAGAAGGATGGAGAGAGGAGTCATGGCTTGTACTTTTAACGGCGAGAAAAGCAACCGTTTGAAATAAAAATTGCTACAGGCTGATATACTAGCGAACAGTAATCAACCATGTTCTATTTCCCCAGGCCATCGTTTAAAAAATAGAAACAAATGAATCATTTAAAACATTAAATATTCAACAATAGATTTTGTTTATTTAAATAAAGCCATTAACAAATGTGGTCTATGTTTTATAGTCTCGAGCAGGCTAAGTTTATACTATATCCCATGAACCTAATAATGACGTCAGATATATTGCACGAGACGATTGAATGTTTGCACATCGTGAACGATATCATTATCCCGTGACCTTTAGGTCTGAGGACGATGTCAAACCATAAACGGAATTTAGGTCAGTAGACGAAACTACGTAAATCCCCTCAGGTAAATAGTCCACTTTTGTCTAAATATTGAACATTTTGTTTTTCGTCCATTTTAGGCTTAGTTTGACCACAAGAGAATCTAGTGAGCAAATATATGACGTGATAAAATCTGGTCCGTTATTTAAAATGACAATAAGAACACAGTTTAGTATTTAGTTTAGTCTTTAAAATGGCCACCGGAATCAACATTCTTAACACTACACTCTACATCAACAAAAAAACTCCAGTAAAATCCCCTCAGGTAAAGTCCACTTCAAAGGAACCATCTTAAAAGAACAAGTCCGAAAATAATTCAAAGCATTTGTTTTTTTAAATACGCAATCTCTGGCTGTACAAAAAAAACGTCCAGTCCAGTCCTAGCTGAAGAAGGACTTCAAAATCATAAATGGTAGATAGTAATACAGTTATTAAAGAATGAAAACATCATGAACACAGTTTCCATGGAAACGTTATCTTCCAGTAATCCCCCAACTGTTGAAAAGTCGAAAATTAATCACTTTGGCCCCAAATCATAACAATATTTACACATATAGATATATCACCAACAAATCTTAAACGTCACTTCCGTATCACAAGTCAAGGGTCACAAAAATAAACTCAGATTCAAAAATCAGACAAGATGTCTTCAGTCTTCAAAAAATCCCCTCTTAGTTGAGCTCTCAACGAATGTCACATTGACACAGTTCAGGTTCACATCTGTGACGTATACTTTGTACGGGGTTTCCCCAGTGAAGGGATACCACAGTCTTTTCTTACAAACTGATTTTTCTTTTTTCGTCCCAGACTTTTGAACTTTGACACACTTTTCGCTTCTCTGTTCACATGAGTCCGTTTTCTTATCACAACTCTTTTCCGTATCAGTGAGCGGAATCTTGTCTTTCTCTTGCTGTTCCTGATCGTTCGCGGGGGTAACATTGGCCTTCAGGTCTTGGTCTTCGTCTTTCAAAGGTTTATCCGTTATGAGATTTTCCTTGTCTTGTGAGATTTGGTCCTGAAGCGTTGGGAGTTGGTCCTTGACCTCTGTGGATGGTTCATTTAACTTGGATGCGTCGAAGTTTTCTCCAATGAGCCCGTCGAAGGGATATGGTGTGACGTCAGTAGTTGTGTAGTCTGGCGTCACAGCTGCGTGCGTTTCTTCGTATGATGGCTTCTGTTCAGTCTTGGTGTCACTTGTAATGGTGAAGGACTTCGGATGGGTGTTCAAACCATATTGGAATCTGGATTTGGGTCCCAGATCAAGATTTGCGTCAGGACTGAGATGTTCCAAGGGTAACAGAGAATCGCTGTATTTCTCCTCCCGTGGAAAGCACGGCCATATAGACGGAGCCATGGCGGATCGTCGTTCAGTTTCCTGGTCCTCGAATAGCGGGCTTTTGGCACTGGAACAGTTATCACTATCCTCGTCAGCTGTATCACTTGAATGTGAGCCGTCTGTCATCTGTAAAACATAAAACATGTAGATATTATTATAAGTCGTTGTTAGGGGGGTTGGATGGCAGAATAGTTAGCACGTGCGCGCTGTATCATAAGGTACTTCACTGAGTCAATTGACGAGGAGTGGTGTCGCCTGTCCAACCTCGTGGGTTTTCTCCGAGTCCCCCGGTTTCCTCCCACTGCTAAAGAAACCTATGCGCTAGCGAATTATTGAAAAACAAAACTGAACCATGTTAGTCCCGAAATGAGCGTGCACGTAAAAGATCCCTTGGCAGTTGGAATTCGATATAAGAGTAGGCCGTAGCGCCGCTGCCCGGGCAAAATTTTCCTCATAGCACACTGTATGGCATATGCCCGTCTTCATTAGCCCAAGTTAGGAGCAGAACAGTAGGACGTTAAACCCCATTTCATTTCATTTCATTTCCGTTCAGTATTAACAAAGATATGATAAATTAAAAGTCTATCAACAGTCGGTATCCTCTACAGATGAAATAAAGAAGCCAGCGCCACCTATAATATGTGTTTGGAAAATCTTTTGGGAATTTATTTAACAAATACCATTGAAGAGAGAGAGAGAGGGAGAGAGAGAGATGGAGTTTAACGTCCACTCGACACAAACTAGGTCATTTCGGGACTAACATATGGTTTAATTTTATTTCAATAATTCGCTTGCGCATAGGGGTCTTTAGCAGTGGGAGGAAACAGGAGGACCCGGAGAAATCCCACGAGGTTGGACAGGCGACCCTACTCCTTGTCACGTATAACCGGGGATTCGAAACCACGCCAGTTGACTCAATGACAGACTTTATGATATAGCGCGCACACGCTAACCATTCGGCCATCCAACCCCCCTAAATACCATTGAAACCTTACCAGAAGATAATTTACCGTTATCATAATTCAATTTTAATGTTAAATAATTAATTTGCGTATTAAAATATTAGCATGGACCAAAATATGAGAATATTTAACCTTACCTGACTCTGGCGACGTTTTTGTAGTCGGCTTCTTCTTCGTGCCATCACCCATTCCGCTCTCCTGGAAGATAAAAACAGTTTACATTATACAACATACTCGGGTTTTAAACATAACAAATACGGTGAAAGGAAATGAAATTAGATAAAATGGTGTTTAACGTCCTAATGTTCTGCTTCGACTGGGGGGGGGGGGGGTGGTTAGCGTTGTATCATAAGGTCTGTCATTGTGTCAGCTGGTGTGGTTTCGATTACCCGGTTATTAAAATAAAATAGTCCCGAAATTACCTAGATTGTGTTGAGTGGACGTTAAAACCCATTTCTCTCTCTAATGAAGACGGGCATACATCATACAGTGTGCTATGACGGAATACTTGCCTCGAAAGCGGCGTTCCGGTCTACTCTTATATCAAATTCCAACTGCCAGGCGATATTTTACGCGGACGTCAATCGAGTCGAAATAAATATTTCAAGTCGAGTCGCAAGTCGGGTCATTGACGTGACGTAAGTCGGACCCAGTCCTATTCTAGAATGTGCCCGGAACATAAATTGCATTCCAAAAACTAAGTCAAATATGTTTTCCGAGAAATTGCTAATTAGCAAACAGCGTATAATGTGCGTAAAAAGCTTGATATAGATATCTTGCTCCAGAAAAACAAAATATATAGCAAATACCAAGTAAAGTTTCTATCCATGGCAACACAGAGCTATACATAATCCAATCAGCCAAAGGATGATCTGTGTAAAATATTTCCTAAAACTATCTTGAAGGTTTATGTCATCTGTCCCGGAAACAAAACTAGGACAGAATGACGGAGCCTATCTTAATATCCAGAGCCCGCTTCCCAACATACTTCTGTACGGTATATAGCAATAAAGAATTTAATTTATGAAGTGTTCGGCGTAATCCACTTCACTAATGGAAATAATGTTTCGAATCGGATCATATCATTTCAGTTACCTATTGCAATACCCCTACGCAACAACCCACATACCCCTTTATTAATCCGCACTAGTTGACACGGAGGAGAGATAGAGAGAGAGAGAGAGAGAGAGAGAGAGAGAGGGAGGAGGGGGTAACGTCCACTCGACACAAACTAGGTCATTTCAGGACTAACATGGTTTAATTTTATTCCAATAATTCGCTTGCACGTAGGGGTCTTTAGCAGTGGGAGGAAACCGGAGGACCCGGAGAAAATCCACGAGGTTGGACAGGCGGCCCTACTCCTTGTCATGTACAACCGGAGATTCCAAACCACGCCAGTTGACTCAATGACAGACCTTATGATACAACGCGCATGTGCTAACCATTTGGTCATCCACGCCCCGCCCCCCCAGTAGTAGGACATTTTGGCACTTGCGCTTAGAGGTCTTTAGCAGTGGGAGGCCCCACGGTGTCAGACAGGCCACCCTGCTCCTTGTCACGTTTAAGCTGAGAATCGAAACCACGACATTTGACTCAATGACAGATCTTATGATTCAGAGTCAGTAGACGCCCCCACCTCCACTGTAATACGTGCATTTCTTGGGGCTTGTCATAGGTTTCGATAATTGTACATAACCTATCACTATAAACACGGAAATATTTTCTCACGTGAAAACCTTTATAAATATATTTAGAAATTATCAGAATATCTGAAACCGGATGTAAATAACTTGGCATAAATCTTAATGGATATCCGGTTAGCTAGATACACTGAGTGTATTGTGGTCTTAAACGGATGGTTAACATCCGGCCCATGTCTTCGCAGAAGCTTAGTTCTAAATGATAAGGCCAGCTCAATTTTTATTTAAGGTTTACAATCGTAACATTGTTAACAATTACAATGTTTGTCTAAAATGATAAGGGGGGTTGGATGGCTGAATGGTTAGCGTGCGCGCTGTATCATAAAGTCTGTCATTGAGTCGACTGGCGTGGTTTCGAATCCCCGGTTGTACGTGGCAAGGAGTAGGGTCGCCTGTCCAACCTCGTGGGTTTTCTCCGGGGCCTCCGGTTTCCTCCCACTGCTAAAGACCCCTACGCGCAAGCGAATTATGTAAATAAAATTAAACCATATGTTAGTCCCGAAATGACCTAGTTTGTGTCGAGTGGACGTTAAACCCCATTTCTCTCTCTCTCTCTCTCTCTCTAAAATGATAATCAAGATTCCAAACAGTCCTTACGTCACTCAATATGAGAAGTAATTTGACGAAAATTTTCAAGATCTTCCCTTTACAGTATCCAGAGTATAACTTAATCTTTAAGTGACATTTAGCGATTGGAAATGAAATGAAATGGGGGTTTAACGTCCTACTGTTTTGCTCCGAACTGGGCTAATGAAGACGGGCATACGCCATACAGTGTGCTATGGGGGAAATTTTGCCCGGACAGCGGCACTACGGCCTACTCTTATATATCGAATTCCAACTGCCAAGGGATCTTTTACGTGCACGCCAATGTGAACGACTAGACAGCTTTCCTTGTCAGCCCCTCCGTCCTGCATCACTGACAAGGGAGAACCACGCCGGATTTAGCGATTGGGAAACACATTAACAGAACACAATTTTTTATAGGAAACAATCACTAGTTTTATTCTAAAAGCACGACTTTTCGACAAGTATTCCTCTTATCGTTATCTATTATAGCATGAACGAAATCTTTTAATAATAAACTTTGTTTTTATGGCGCAACAAATGATTTAAAGATACATTCCCGAGTACAAACTTTGTGTTTGATGATATATTTGGACTAAAAACATATTCAAATTAACCAATCTATCACAAATTTGCTTCAATTCCCTCTAAAAACTTTGTATTCGCCGGGGATACCTATAGCTATAAGTAAGCTGTTGCTAAAAACGACCCCTTTCTCAGCCAACACCGAGTTCGAACCCGGTACGTCGTCTTGGTTGGCGAGCATGCATCTCACTCACTGAGCCGCCATGGCGTCCGAAATCACTAGAAACTAATGTCAACTTTAAACGGCCTTATCATTTCTACAAACAATACCGACTAAACACCGTGAAGACTGCGAGATAGTAGAGTTAAACATGCATTATGCAAGAGCTAAATCTGTCTATTGCAGGTCTTTCTTTAGGCCTAGAATGTTGTCTAAATTATTAATTAGATATTAATTAACTTATCCAAACCATAATCAACTCTCGGTGTCATCGCTACCCTGCGATATTTACTGGATTGGAATCCAAGCTGCTGCTCAACACTCATTGAATATTAAATCAAAAAATGGATAATCGAGACTATGTTTTTTTTTATCGTACCGACTTTAGTAATGATGAATGAGGCTAAGCCTAAAATAAGTTCAATCACTAAAATCTCGGTTCAGAGTTGATCAATTTGACTGATATTTTCAGCAAGTTCCCTTTACATTGTCTAATCTTTAACTATTATAGTGAGAACTGCCTACTAAAATATTACCCTGTAAAAACAGGATGTTTCCTGATTTCATTTGTAGCAGAAATTCAAGACGTTGAACCACATTAAGTCCGCTTTGAGAGGTGTCACGAGCCGTCAAAACTAGTCAAAGTTTAAAAGGATTCTTTGTATTTGAATAACCCGGAACACGTACGTTAAAACTGTTGCTATTAAAATACATCCTGTGTCTAACCTTTAAAAGCATTCGTTGTATTGGTAAAACCCGGAACACGTACGTTAATTTTGTTCTATAGACATAATAATTGTTTACACAGATTTCAACTAATGAAATATGATCGAATAACGACACAAAATGAAAGTAGATATGATAGACTGCAATAAACATATGAAATGAAATGGAGTTTATTATCGTACTACTCTTCACCAATTGACTAATAAACAGGCTAAGACTCGAATGACCAGTACGGTGGTTACGATCAACGCACACATCTTGACAATCAAGACTACAACCATTGATAACTTCGTTCAAAATAAACTAATTTAAATGAAAGTTTCAATATATTCATTTTGCATTATCTATTTTTGTAATATTATAGCGAGAACAGTCAGCGCTTTATTAAAATCTTACATAAAGCCCAGTTAATCAACAAAATGATATTGACCGCCCTCTTATTCTTCTTCACAAGTTTAAAATCTCCGAGGAATTTTCTTGTAAAATCTGATATTTGTGTAGGACGACTATAATGAAGTGAATGGCAGAAAGTCTAATGACCCCAAGGACTATTATATAAAATTATCGAGGAAATTACTCTTAGTAAAGTTAAATCTGTCGATTTTATTTTATTTTTTTTTTTATAAATTACGCGTAGGCTGTGGAGAAAATCAGTTATTGACCTAAATACAAATTTCCAGACGAAATCGTATAAGGATACAGTATTAGAAAATAGAAAAATTGATTAAGTAAGCAGTGTGGTATTGGATGTTACAAAAATGAAGATACCCTACTAAGCGCACGACACCTACTACTAGATAAACTTTACGTCCACCTCCGTCTAGGGTGATATCGCAGACATAAAATAATGTTCCCTAAGAGAGAAATGAAATGAGATGGGGTTTAACGTCCTGCTGGTCTGCTCCTAACCTGGGCTAAAGAAGACGGGCATACGCCATACAGTGTGCTATGAGGGAAATTTTGCCCGGGCAGCGGCGCTACGGCCTACTTTTATATCGAATTCCAACTGCCAAGGGATCTTTTACGTGCACGCCAATTTGTACACGGGAACTCGGTTTTTCGTCCCACCCAAACGACTAGACAGCTGTCCTTGTCAGGCCCTCCTTCCCGCATCACTGACAAAGGAAAACCACGCCGGAAAATCTGGATGAACTTTCTCGGCAAATGCAGAGATCGAACACCCGACCTCTTGGCTAGCGAGCCAGCGTCTTACCCACTTAGTCACGTGATCCCCAGGGACGTTAAAGCCGATTACATTTCTGTTGTAGAGGCTAAACTTCATTTAAATTAATTTCATATCATGTGTAAAAATGTCTGCGACTTACTTTTCATTGTATTCTGCTATGAGTAGTGGGTCAAGGATATTATTCTCGGGCTCCCACGTGCAATGTCTGAAAGAAAATAAAATACATGTATTTAGACATGATATATGTCGGAATGTAGTTCTGGGGCCCGTTTCACGAAATTTTAACTAAGATAAAATCCAAATTTTAGTAATTTAATTGGATAATATTAGATTGATTTTAGTGCTTAGCCAATCAAAATTGAAGTATCTACTAAAATTTGGATTTTATCTCAAGTTAAAATTTCGTGCTACAGGGCCCTGATGTATTCCGCTGCATTCCCACGGGCATTCAACTCAATTTCATTTCATTTTAATTATATACATATTATATATAGGTGTTTATATATTGATTGATATAAGTATACTAAGCAGGTATGTATATAAAAGAACACACCTGGTATAGATCAATAGTAGGTGATAATACAGGTAAATACAGGTATCGTATTACCTGTATTAGAATGTAATATGTAATGGAATTTCAGAATAAATAATTCATACACAAATGATGCTATAATATGGAACTGGTATTTTTTTATGCGAGAGAGAAAGAAAGAATGAGAGAGAGAGAACGAGAGAGAGGGAGAGAGAGAGAGATTAATATCATTTATATTTAGTAGTGGGGGGAAACCCACGAGGTTTAGAAGGCGATATCACTCGTGTCACGTACAAGCCTATTGCCATCGCAACCACATGAATCAATGACAGAACACTAGACCACCCCTCCCCGGACACACGCCACCGTAACTCCCACAAGTAGAATAATAAATAAACACATCCATTAATATCAAGAGACCAAGAGAGAGTTGGTCTAGACTTGCATTCAAATTGTTCACGGTGACCGCCAGAAGCATATAAACACAGACATTTAAATGACCCCGGGGTCAAGGTCAAGTGGGTATAGAATACGATCTCTCATATCAACTATATGAATGTTTGTTTAAGTTTCTATTTTTAACTCATGTTATTAAGTTTATATCTATATAAATATACATATATAGGTATATAAATTATGATTTATTTACAAACTGGTTAACTATACATCTATAAAAACAGACATTGTCACGAAAACATGTTAATCTTAGCACAGAGAGAGAATGGGGGGGGGGGGGGTAACGTGCTACTGTTCTGCTCCGACTGGAGCCGGGCATACGCCATACATAGTGCTATAATACCGAGCATAGTACCGAGTTAAAAACTTCCATTAACGTTTTTGATCTTTGGGAGAGAGGACTTGAAGCAGGTTAATAACACGTTCGGTGAAGGGGAGAAGAGTTTTTCCTACCATCCAACACACGATGGGTCATAACGAATGAATGAATGGGTCAATCAATGAATCGATCAACTATTTAATCAACAAATACATGAATGATTGGTAACTAAGGTAACGGTGAATGAATGAATGGGCGAATGGGAGGGACGATGCTAATGATGATGACGTCCATGCCAGTGACCAATGAATGAACGACATACAGGCACCAGATATGAAGAAACGAATGAACCAATGTTTTCTATATGAAAACAGATAACACTGTCAATGACAACGTTAATGAATCAGAAATTAATATCAAATGCATTTTTTTTTTAAATATATTATTCACACAATAGCGTGGAGATATTTCATCTAGTCAAATCAATAATTGATTTCATTACGCAATCGTCAGAAATAAACGACTGGTTGTTATTGACAACATAATATTTATATTGTATTTAGCTTATGTCATACATTTAATTACATTTAACTACAAAAAGTACGAATTAACTCGGTCAATATGGCGAACACTTCCCAAATCGGCAGAGAATGGTCTAAAAGAGTTTAAATAGGGTCATTTCGGGACTAACATATGGTTCAATGGGGAATCGAAACCACGACAGTTGACTCAATGACAGGCCTTATGATACAGCGCGCACGTGCTAACCATTCGGCCATCCCGCCCCCTACAAGAAAGAAGAATTCTCGTCAACCTTTCATCAATTTAGAACGGGTTTTTTTTACGGGCATGCCGATGTGTACCATCAAGATGGATCTCGATTTTACGTTCAATCCGGACGACCTGGTCTTGTCTGACAAGCGGACAGTTTGGAAAATCCCCACAGTTTAACAAACGGGTAGACAAGATGCCGTGAATTGCCATAATACCCAGTATTCATTGACTTGCCTGTTCGTGAGGGGGCGTTTCACAATATATACCTTGTCAGCTGGGGTAATATTATACCGCTGTTATATATAGAGGTAGATAAGTGAACAGGTGCGTGTTGTAACAATAATAACAACATATTTAACGTTTACTAGGAAAACAGATCTACTGAGGTACGATGACGATAACAACATCGTAATAGTACCAATTAAAGCCCTTCTCCACATTCTTCAAATAAACATCTAACCCGAAAAACTATGTAAACAACACAGGTCACGTACAAACCAAAGTTACATTTACTTCCCTATTCGCATTATCTATTTCGAAATTATACGCCCCGCGGTCTCAAACCGATTAAAACCTCTTGAAACATATAAACTACAACTTAAAACCGGTGTTGGCATTTAGGTAGATAGAAATTGGGTTTAACATTCACTCGACACAAACTAGGTCGTTTCGGGACTAACACACGGTTCAATTTTATTTCAATAATTCGCTTACGCGTAGGGGTAGTTAGCAGTGGGAGGAAATTGGAGGACCCGGAGAAAACCCACGAGGTTGGACAGGCGACCATACTCCATTATCACGCACACAATCGCAGAAAATCGAAACCATGCCATTTGACTCAATGACAGACCTTATGATCTAACGTGCACGCGTTTAACCATTCGGCCATCCAACCCCCTTGTCATTTGGGAGATTTTTTTTTTTTAAATCTGCTTCAAATCCTTTTATTATTTACAAAGATATAATAACTTGAAAGTAAGTTATCAATTATACAACATCCTCTACCAAAGATATTTTGATGGGTCTCTTTTCGATCCAGTTATATCCAAACTAGGAGATTATCTTCTGTGATTTTGCTGACTTCATTAGAACATAAATAACCAATTTGAGTACAATTTAGCGTTAATTAAAGGCTCAATACCACTCTTGTTGTAACTGAACAATATGTCACAATCTTTATTCTGGTCAACAAATTGTACTATGTTACAATATTCCAATTAATTGAGGATACAAATTTCATCTTAACACACCTAATTTAAAAAAATGGAAAAATTCAATTAAATTATTTGAAAAGCCTGACGTAAAGCTTTTCAAATGTGACTTGGATTTAAAAATATTTTTGAACCCTCCAGACAAGTAAAATAGGATTTAATGGATAATTTACACAACAGGTAGGACACTAACACATCTAGTACTTAGAATAAGGCTGTTTTTTATTGTCCCTTTAAGCCATGAAAACCTTGATATTTTAGCGAAAACAGCAAATTATCGACTATAATAAATGATACATGAGTTATTTATGAAATGTGCGTAACCAACGACCTGTATTTCACAGTTAAATATAAACAACAGTATGTTCACAACAATAAATATGTCGCAATAATAACATTCAGCCTTGTCATACTAACATAAATAATTTTTTTATATGCGTCACATATTTCACAATAATAATGATACTCAACTCTACATAGTCCAGTTCAACACACAATCTGACTATAAACCACATCTATATTTCGTTTTTTTTTATACTTTCGATGAACTATAAAAAACGAAATGAAATAGGATCTGTGTTTTAATCAGATTGGGCCAACACACAAGATATATACAGGTAAATGGGGTTTAACGTCCACTCGGACACAAACTGGTGATACATCTCAAAGAAGTACAGTCATGGGTACCAATGATGATGTATGTTCCCCGAGAAGTGCGAGACTTATGGATATGAAATGAGTATACTCATCAAAGAATCACAGTCATGGATACTAAATAATGCTACTCCTTAAGGAAGTCCTGTCATGGGCAATAATAATGATACTGTCATGGGTATCATGGGTACTATTGGCATAAGCGTACGGGCTCGGTAACAGTTAGGGGGGGGGGGGAGTAGAATCCGAAATGCCCGAAAACATTTCGGTTTTACAAACAGCGGCGCCGGTCTTCTGCGAGAGGCGAAGGAACTAATGATGAAATGATGATACGACCCAGAGACGTTTAGTAATGGACTCATGGGTACTCTAGTTATTTGATGCCATACATTCACGAATTACTGCCATGGATACTAATGATGCTACACATCGAAGAATTCTTGTCATCGGTACTAATGATGCCACACCTCAACGAATTGTTGCCATGGGTACTAATGATGCCACACCTCAACGAATTGTTGCCATGGGTACTAATGATGCTACACATCAACTAAATGTAGTCACGGGCACTAGTGACGATGCACCCTAAAAGAAGTTCAGTCGTGGGGAATAGTAGTGGTGTACCCTAAAGACGTTCAGTCGTAGAGGATAGTGGGGGTGTACTCTAAAGAATGAAGTTCAGTCGTAGGGAATAGTGGTACTACAAACTGGTAACATATCCACCATAGAGCAGACTACTCGACCATTGTTGAAAGGCATGACCCAATCCAAGAAGTATACCTACAGGTATGGGTGATTCACCACTTATATATAGATTGAATTGTCTACAGCTGCCTATTACAAAACAGTACAGTCATAGGTACATGTACTAATGATGATAACCACCAAAGAATTAATTAGTCATTGGAAGTTGATGTTAACAAGATGTTGAATCCTTTTATGGACACAGATAGTTAGTCAGTATATATATCTTGTATCTCTAGGTGGAGACCAACAAAGAAGTACTGATGACTGTTCCAGAAAGGTACTACCATCATTATTGTCTGTTCATGTATTAGTTGTTAGACTACCCACTGTATAGTGTTACTTTTAAAATTTCAAGATTCCCCTCTACAAATTGCCCTTTTGCTACCATGAAACTGGAGACAGAAATGAAATGAAATGGGGTTTAAAGTCCTACTGTTCTGCTTCGAACTGGGCTAATGAAGACGGGCATATACCATACAGTGTGCTATGAGGGAACTTTTGCCCGGCCTACTCTTACATGTATATCGAATTTCAACTGCTAATGGATCTTGTAAGTGCATGCCAATGTATACACGGAACCTCGGTTTTTCATACCACCCGAACGACTAGACAGTTGCCAATGTCAGGCCCTCCTTCCTGCACCACTGACAAGGGGGAAACCGATGGACTTTCTCGGCCAATGCAGATATCAAACACGCGACCTCCACTTACCCACTTATCCACCGTGGCTCACAAACTGGAGACAGGCGACTGTTCCAAAATGGTGCCATTGTCACACCACCGATGATAACACCAAGGCAATGGAGAATCAATGCTATACATATGTAATAGCCGATTAATGAGTAGGTTTGAAGGGACGTGAAGCTGAAGGTCGAGCAGCTAATAAACACGCCATGCTTTACACACGTGGTAGCATTTAAACATCAGACAAGTAATAACAACGTAGTGAATAAAAAAAATCAATAACAACTCGGCGTTCGCCGTACTTCAGCCTTGTGTGTCGTGTATTTCCAGAGGGAAGTACTGTACTAGTAGCTATCTCTCTCTCGTCAACAACGAATTAAAGGGAAAGTAATGACACAGGTAAATTAAATGAAATGCGGTTTGACGTCCTGCTGTTCTCATGTCAAAGGTAAATGAAATTAAATGGGGTTTAACGTCCTATTGTTCTGGTGTCACAGGTAATCGTCTACCATTTTAAAAACGAAAGTAGAGAACGTATATTTAAATATTTCAGATATTTTTCTACAAATTAAAAGCGAAAGTTGACAAGATATATGCAAGCAATTAAAAGCGAAACTAGACACCAGTTTTCTTGGAATTTCTCATTACTAACAATTTGCGTTGTATTTTTGTCTGTTAAAGATCCCTTGTTACTTTTGGTGAGTGGGTTCACCTACTGACAAAATCTAATTAAAATACAGGTCTATATTTCGTTTCGTTTTGGTTTTTTTATACTTTCGATGTTCTCTGCTACCTAGTGTAGTAAAGACAAGTAAAACGAAATTTTGAACTATAAAAAACGAAAAGAAATATGATCTGTGTTTTAATCAGATTGCAGCCTGAAATGGTTGTTGTGCAATCTGGGGAAGTTGTTAAACAATTTATGAAACTTGTCGTATTTCACCAGTATCTAGATTTCAAGCCATGGTGTAATAGGCCTACCTCTGGATGTCTATTGTTACACGCAATAAAAGTATATATGCCTACAAAAAAATACACGGGAAGTGGTATCAATTGTTCTAAATATACACGACGTTAATTATATTAATATGTGGTCGGAGATTTCAAAAGTCGAATTGACTTGGTTGTATGAAAGCCGAACTGACTTGATTGTATAAAAGTCGAATGTTTTGACTGTGTGTATAAAAGCAGCCAATAAAAAGAAAACAAATGGAAACCAAAGAGCATCGCCAAGTAATCACTTATAAAATAATAGCAATTAAAATACATAGCATCATTAAAAACAGCGCGGACCCCAGTGACATCCATTCCATAAAGTTAACAAGCGCGGACCTTGGAGAGAGACTGTTCTGTCAAGTCATGTTAATGAGTAAGTTGTTTACATTCAAAAGTACAGCGAGGTCAGGTTCGTAACGGTTAAATAATTCAAACGAATCAAAAAGTACACTTAAACAAGCTGATCTATTCAAATATATAAATATATACACATACGCACGCACGTAGTTTATATATAGCTATATATACCCTGTACACTAAACACAGTCGTGACATATCGGGTATGTCAGTCAGACCAACCGCGTGCGACAGCGCATCACCCGATAAATAGCCTATTTCTTCAAACAGCACTAACATTATTCAATATATGCATGTTAACCGATGTAAATATTGTGTATGACAACTAAGCACGTGTATTGCACCTGCTGTCATGTGTATGTTATGTATCTAATGACAGCGACGTATCTGTTGATTAATGTCAACAAACAAGCTACAAACACCGGTACAAGGATAATACATTAATTATTTATAACATGCAGGACAAAAAAAAAACATTGTCTTACTTGATAGAGTATCCCTTCCATTTGACAAGGTATTCCCTTCGTCCCTGTAAACAAAATCCAAAAAAATATTTTAATTCTTGTGGAAATATCTGACGTTATCGTTAAAGGATTCTTCTAGAACCTCATTATAATAATTTGTCCGCTGCTGTGACATCGGCACTCTTTCTTCCAGCTCGAGCGGTGTCGGCTTTTTCTTGTAAATTTATCTATTAAATTTAAATGACAGCTGAAAAACTGCTGATGATCGGTTAAATTAAGTATGTTAATGCTAAATAAAACTTTGCTTACCTTCCGATAGCGTTTTTTTCGGATGAAATCGGCTTGGAAAACGCGTTCTCCTAGAATTGATAAATCCATGCTCTCGCTTGTAACTAGTAAGTGTTTATGACCGGTTCACGCCAGCCAGCTAAACCATAACATGCAGTGACGTCACATACCGCGTCGCGTTCAAAACTAGCCTAGATTATCCAGCCTCAAGTTGAATGAGCAGAAACACCAACGCTATCGATCGAGACTATCGCTAAGCTTCAGCGAGTGCCACGCTACAAACGCTGATCGTTAAATGAACTCCTCACTGCGCACACGCGGTGTGTAATTTTCCTTTGAACTGGTGTTTTCCCCGCCACACGATGTCGATCTACTTGGATATATTAGGTTATTTATAATCGTAATATCCAAATCAAAACAGAATTGAAACTAAGACGATAAAACTATCAATATATGGCTAAATCCATTTGTTAAGGCCAGCTCAATTTTTGTCAAGGTCGTGAAGATGAAAATAAGTTTAGGGCACGTGATTGCTGGTGAGGACTAGGGTAAGCATTGTCCAGGGTTAGGGTTGGGATTAGCGCTAGCCCTGTTTACATCTCATGACCTATGACGAAAAATTGAGCTGGCCTTATCATTTAGCACTAACCGTCATACATCAATATATTTTACATATTCTGCTAAATGTTACTGTCAGCCGCCCACACCATAATTTATGGTCTTTGTACTCATGTATAGACTCGCATACTTTAGGCACACAATAAAATATAAAACTCATAAATAATATATTTGACATGCTTATTTTTGTACTGTTAAAAAAAAAATGATTTCGGTATTCACGTGTTGTATGTTGTGCGTGACTAAATGGGGTTGTCACCGCTTACTCAGGGACGGATCCAGGAATTTTTGTAGGAGGGGGTTTGCCAGGCTCCTTAGGGAATTTGACAGTTGACAATGCATGATGCTATCATCGTCTATAAATTACGTAAGCATACATACACACTGAGCTTGTAAAGAGAGAAATGCAACACCCCGTTTAATGTCAATTTTCATAATGAATTATTACGATCGTATTGTGATTTAATTTCATTGATGCAAAGCATTAATTGTGATATCACACATTATCTCGCGCTTTGAATGTCGATCCCATCCCACCATCTGATGATAAAGGATAAAGCACACGACCATTACACTTTTCTCATAAAGTGTTGTTTTACAATTTTGTTTATGTAGCTGAGCAGGGTGGGGTTTCGACCCCTCTGCTTCTGCCCCTGTTGCAAGTCAAGTATTGCGAACCCTTAGAAAGGGAGTGGGGGTGGCCGAATGGTCTGTCATTGAGTCAAGTACGTGACAAGGATTAGGGTTGTGGAAAATGCGCATGAACGAATTATGCCGCCCCCCCCCCCCCCGCCAAAAAAAAAAAATAGCCGTGCTTATGGCTACCCGATCCATCATATATTTGGAGCCAAAATGACGGACCGTAAACATTTTGCACTCTCATTTCCCCATGCCATATAACTCGATCTTGGCCTGAATTCTCCAGACAAAATTATTTTCAAAAAATTAACCCAGTAATTAAAACATACATTATGCAAGAGCCAAATCTGCCTATTGCAGTGCTTTCTTTAGGCCTGAAATGTTATCTAAATTATTAATTAGAAATTAATTAACTTATCCAGACCATAATCAACACTCGATGGCATCGCTAGTCTGTGATATGTTGCGGATTGGAATACATATTTTTGAAAATAACTAAACGTAAAAATGGATAATCGAGACTTTTTTTTTTTTTATCGTATCAACTTTAGTAAAGATGATCGAGGCTAGCCAAATTTTAACAGCTAATATCTCGGTTCAGAGTGGAACAGTTTGACTGCAATTTTCAGCATTTTCTATTTACGTTATCTATTTTTAACTATTATAGCGAGAACTGTCAACTCATTATCTAATCTCCCATAATGTATCTTTAAGAAATGGGGTTTAACGTCCTACTGTTCTGCTCCGAACTGGGATAATGAAGACGGGCATACGCCATGCAGGGTGCTATCAAATTCCAACTGTCAAGGGATCTTTTACGTGCACGCCACTGTGTACACGTGACCTCGGTTTTTCGTTCCATCCGAACGACTAGACAGCAGTCCTTGTCCGACCCTGCGTTCTGCACCACTAACAAGAGGGGAAACCACGCCAGAAAATCCAGATGAACTTTCTCGGCCAATGCAGGGATCGAACACCCGACCTCAGGCTAGTGAGCCAGCGACTTAACCACCGTCACACACCCACACACACACCCACACACACACACACACACAAAAGAATAAAAAAATAAATAAAATAAAAATGATATTCCGTGACTATTATCTCTATAGTGTTAATTGTTTTATCATTATCTTTAGAGGTTATTGGGGATTTTGGCAAACATTCGAATACTAACAGACCTGATTCATAGAGGAAACGATATCTATTAACGTAGTTTCCTTAATTATAAACTCACAGTTTGCACGAATAAGGTTATTTATAACACCCTAATTATTATTCCTTACATATGTTTTAATGTTTTACTCCAATAAGGGTTACATCTGTTTTATCTATTGAAATATGTAGACGATGACGAGGGAGAGACAGCGAGAGAGAGAGAGAGAGAGAGAGAGGGGGGAGAGAGAGAGACCGACCGACTCATACGCATCAGAGAATAAATGAGCAAAACACGGCGCGCAGATGGTACCCATGGGAAAACCAATTACATGTACTTTGGAGTTTAACGTCCACTCGACACAAACGATGTCTTTTCGGGACTAACATATGATACAATTATATATCTTACAAATTCGTTATCGCGTAGGGGTCTTTTAGCAGTAGAAGAAAACCCATGAGGTTGGACGGGCGACTCTACTCTTTGTCCCGTACAACTGGGGAATCGAAACCACGCCCTTTGACTCAATGACAGACCTTATAATACAACGCTCACGCGCTAACCATTCGGCTATCCAGCTCCCCTTACGATGATAAGGCCATTACAGGGCCCTTATTCACGAAAACTTAAACTAAGATAAAATCGAAATTTTAAGAAATACTGCAACTTCATTGGATATATGCAAATTGATTTTACTGGTCAGCCAATCGAATTGCAGTATTTCTTAAAATTTCGATTTTATCTTAGTTTAAGTTTTTGTGAATAAGGGCCCAGATCTTCAACAACAATTATCCGAACGACTCGACCACTGTTCCTTGTCAGGTACAAATGACAACAACTACATGTAAATTATCCCGCGGAAGTTTTTCGGCCAACACCAATCTAATTAAAATATAGATCTATATTTCGTTTCGTTTTTTTATACTTTCGATGGCCTACACTACATGTAGATCTAACAAGTTATAGTGGGAGTTCACGTTCTATGATGTCAGGTAACAAGCAAGCGACATTTGACCCGATTACGTCGGTCATTCGATTAACCAATTAGTGACCGCCATGTATTTCTTATCTCCTTTTGCTTTGTTTTGATTTCTATTGCCGCCAATGTCTACCCACAGTTCCGTGTCAAAAAGGCCAAACGCTCGATTCGATAGACCATTTGATTGGCTGACCCCTCATTTCAAGCAGAACACGAGTTAAATAACAACGTTCCAGATCAAAGTGTAGTAAAGACAAGTAAAATGAAATTTTGAACTATAAAAACGAAACGAAATAGGATCTGTGTTTTAATCAGATGGGGCCAACACCGGATACCAACATGGATATCCTGTTTAGAGAGCCAGTGCCTTACCCGGGAACCAACACGGATTTCCTATTTAGCGAGATTGCACCTTATCCACAATCTGGTTAAAACACAGATCCTATTTCGTTTCGTTTTTATAGTTCAAAATGTCGTTTTACTTGTCTTTACTACACTTGGATCTGGATCGCCTGTCCAACCTCGTGGGTTTTCTCCGGGTCCTCCGGTTTCCTCCCACTGCTAAAGACCCCTACGCGCAAGCGAATTATTGAAATAAAATTAAACCATATGTTAGTCCCGAAATGACCTAGTTTGTGTCGATTGGACGTTAAACCCCATTTCTCTCTCTCTCTCTCTCTCTCTCTCTCGGATCTGGAAGAGTTGTTATTTAACTCGTGTTCTGAATAGTGTCACGGATAAGCCAATGAAACGGTCTGTTACGGCGATCTTTAGGCGTGTTTTTCACGGAACTGTGGGTAATCCACTAATAACATCAATGCTGATTGGTTAATCAAATGTCTGACGTCATAGGGTCATAAGTCGGTCTTTTGACCCCTGACGTGACCTATCGCTACAACTTGTCAGATCTTCATGTAGTGTAGGCCATCGAAAGTATAAAAAAAAGAAACGAAATATAGATCTGTCTTTTAATTAGATTGCCTTATCCACAGAGCTAACGTCGCCCCTTATTAGGTTATACAAAGGCTTGTAGGTAATAAATGTTGTCGAAGTTTGTAGTCCAGTAGCTAACAATTGTTGTTGAAGTTTTGTACCTAATATTTGTTGTGTAAGCTAACAAATTGTTGTTGACGTCTCCTAGCTAATAATTGTTGTGGATGTTTAGTAGCTAATAATTGTTGTTGAAGTTTAGTAGCTAATAATTGTTGTGGATGTTTAGTAGCTTATAATTGTTGTGGAAGTTTAGTAGCTAATAATTGTTGTGGATGTTTAGTAGCTAATAATTGTTGTTGAAGTTTAGTAGCTAATAATTGTTGTGGATGTTTAGTAGCTAATAATTGTTGTTGATGTTTAGTAGTTAATAATTGTTGTGGGTGTTTAGTAGCTAATAATTGTTGTTGATGTTTAGTAGTTAATAATTGTTGTGGGTGTTTAGTAGCTAATAATTGTTGTTGACGTTTTGTATCTAATATTTGTTGTGGAAAATTATTTGTTGTTGACGTTTTGTACCTGATATCGTGGACGTATAGTAGCTAACAATTGCTGTATTGTGGACTTTTCGTAGATAATATTAGTTGTTACAGTTTAGTAGCTCATAATCCATCTGATTAAAGTACAGATCTATATTTACTTTCGTTTTATTATACTTTCGTTTTATTATACTTTCGTTTTATTATACTTTCAATGGCCTACACTACATCAAGATCTGACCAGTTGTACTATAATATCGTGTCAGGGGTCATACGAGCGAAATTTGACCGTATGACGTCAG